ATATATAAATATATATATATATATATATATATATAATATATATATAATAAGATAGATGGATAGATAGATATACGTGTACACACATATATGCATATATGTAATGTAGATATACATATATATATATATATATATATATATATATATATACTATATATATATACTATAATAATATATATATATATATATATATATTATATATATTATATATATAGTATATATATGTATTTGTATGTATAATATTCTATATGAATATATATAATGTGTAATACGTAAATATATATATATATATATATATATATATATTATATTATATATATATATATATATTATGTTGTGTGTGTGGGTGGTGTGTGTGTGTGTGTGTGTGTGTGTGTGTGTGTGTGTGTTGTAGTATATATACTATATGTATATATTATAATATATATATATAAATATATATATATATATATATATATATATATATATATATATATTATATATATATATATATATATATATATATATATAATATATATATATATATATATATATATGTATGTGTGTGTGTTGTGTGTGTGTGTGTGTGTGTGTGTATATTATGTGTATACACACACATTTACATTACTGTATTCACCCGAATCATCTTTTCAATCCCCTTTAACCCTGTTCCAAAACGTGTCAGTTTCAGGAACAAACCACTCAGTTCAGACAACCAGCGGGCGTGTGAAGAAGATAAGGTCAAAGTGCGGACACGAAACCGAGAGACTAGGTCATGCGTGGTGGAGAGCGGAAAGGGGGGGAGGAGGAGAGGAGGAGGAGGGAGGAGGAGGAGGAGGAGCGAGGGAAAGAGAGGAGGGAGGAGGAGGGAGGGAGGGAGGAGGGAGGGAGGAGGGGAGGGAGGGAGGAAGGGTGGAGGAGGGTATGGAGGAGGGAGGGAGGGAGGGAGGGAGGGAGGAGGAGGGAGGGAGAGGGAAGGAGGGAGGAAGGAAGGAGGAGGAGGAGGAGGAGGAGAGAGGGAAAGAGGGAGGAGGGAGGGAGGGAGGAGGAAGGGAGGGAGGGAGGGGGGAGGGAGGGAGGGAGGGAGGAAGGGAAAGGGAGGGGGGGAGAGGAGGAGGGAGAGGGAAGGAGGAGGAGGAAAGAGAGGGAGGGAGGAGGAGGAGGAGGTGGAGGAGGGAGGGAGGGAGGTGACGGAAGAGGACGAGAGGGCGAGAATTGGGGGGGGGGTAGGAAAGAGGGTGGGAAAGGGAGAAGGGGAGATGTTTGGTGAGGAAGACCGAGAGAATGAGAAAGGGGGGTGGGGGAGAGAAAGGGAGAGGAGGAGGAGAGAGAGAGAGAGAGAGAGAGAGAGAGAGAGAGAGAGAGAGAGAGAGAGAGAGAGAGAGAAGAGAGAGAGAGAGAGAGAGAGAGAGAGAAAGAGAGAGAGAAGAGAGAGAAGAAGAGAGAAAGAGAGAGAGAAATAAAGAGAAAAAGAAGAGAGAGAGAAGAGAGAGAGAGAGAGAGAGAGAGAGAGAGAGAAGAGAGAGAGAGAGAGAGAGAGAGAGAGAGAGAGAGAGAGAGAGAGGACATGGGGCGTACAGTGCGTTCAGGGACACGTATTTCGTCCTTCAACTCCGAGGACTGCCACAGGAGGCGGATGTTAGACAACTCAAAAAAAAAAAAAAAAAAAAAAAAAAAAAAAAAAAAAAAAAAAAAAAAAAAAAAAAAAAAAAATTCAGCAGTAAATGAAACATTATAAAAAACAGTCGTGACCTCTTAAGTAGCAGGCCGTTCATTGAGATATTATACCGTACATGGAGAGAAAGGGAGAGGAGGAGGGAGAGGAGAAGGAGAGGTAGGGAGAGAGAAGGAGAGGTAGGGAGAGAGAAGGAAGAGAGAGGAGGGGGAGAGAGAAGAGAGAGGTAGGGAGAGAGAAGGAGAGGTAGGGAGAAGAGAAGGAGAGGAGGGAGAGAGAAGGGAGAGGTAGGGAGAGAGAGAAGGAGAGGCAGAGAGAGAGGAGAGGTAGGGAGAGAGAAGGAGAGGTAGGGAAGAGAGGAAGAGGTAGGGAGAGAGAAGGAGAGGTAGGAGAGAGAAGGAGAGGTAGGAGAGAGAGGAGAGGTAGGGAGAGAGAAGGAGAGGTAGGGGAGAGAGAGAGGAGAGGTAGGGAGAGAGAAGGAGAGGTAGGGAGAGAGAAGGAGAGGTAGGGAGAGAGGAAGAGAGAAGAGAGAGGAGAGAGGAGATAGGGAGAGAGAAGAGAGAGGTAGGGAAGAGAGAAGGAGAGGTAGGGGAAGAGAGAAGGAGAGGTAGGGAGTAGGAGAGAGAGAAGGAGAGAGGGAGAGAGAAGGAGAGGTAGGGAGAGAGAAGGAGAGGTAGGGAGAGAGAGAGAGAGAGAGAGAGAGAGAGAGAGAGAGAGAGAGAGAGAGAGAGAGAGAGAGAGAGAGAGAGAGAGAGAGAGAGAGAGAGAGAGATAGGAGTAACTGAAGGCCCTCTTTCATAAACAACCAAGGGCATTACAAAATAGTTACGTTATCTTGTACAACTGGTTGCGAGGACAGTTATATAATGGCATTATTATGTCAACATAAAATCGCACTCTTTTGTAAGGGAAAAGGTGATTCCTGGGATACAGGAGGGAAGCACCAACTGACAAAGTCTATTGTACCTGTTAGTTCAGGTGCAATAGACTTTATCCACGAACAAAATGTTAAATGCTGAAAGTAACCAAAACAAAGAATCCTTTTTTTTTCAAAATGTCCGTCTGTACGGTTTATCGACCACTACATACCAAGCACTTTACAGCTCTATGTGCGTCATAAACATATCATTCATATCCCACGTGAATATTTCGTAAGTCCAGGTATTACTGTGTTCGGATCACGATGAATACACGGAGATACAAAATAACCCAGCTTTACAGTGTCTGTAACAACACGAGATAATGAATGGGTAAAAATCTTTCTGTGCAAGTGATCGATTGGTCCCAATTAACTGCAGCATTCCGTGGCTACATGGCGTTCCCAGTCTGTGGCTGTTGCTTTATCATTCCCCAACTACTGTTAAGAAGTATTCGTTCTCTGTGAATGGCATTTCGCAGCAGAAATAGAAAACTCACCTATCCCTACCGGCGCAAGGTGGTCTGTTCGAGAACTGTTTGCTTTAATCCATGGTTGTCAGCAGTCACGAGATGCAAATCGGCGTCAGTGCCAATAAGGACAGAACATTTGCTTATGTCAACCGGCAGCGCTGATCAGATTACCTGCAGGGCCGTCGCAAAAGCGGCACAGAAAGCAGGCTGTAACGTTTTAAATTTGCCGACAAAGGGGCGTGGGTATTGGGTGTGGGCATTAAAAGTAGTCGTATCTTCAAATAATAGCGGTAAATTTCCGCTATTGTTTTTTTTTTTTTTTTTGCGTGTAACTTGCTTAGCGCTTAATTGGAGATTATTCGAATTTCTAGGAATTTGCCGACAAATTGCCGGTTTAGCTTCATTTGCCGACAGAAGCTATTTCATGGGGGTTGTCACACACCCCATAACCCTCCTTCGCAACTGCCCTGATTACCTTCATCGACCACACAACACCAGAACTCTCTAACTTGAACGTCAGTTTGTGTGACTAACGTGGAACAGATCCTGAGGGGTTAGGCGTCACCATGCCCAGTTCAGAGGGATTGTCAGGCGAGACGTTCTGGGATACTTGGTAATGTTCCTCAAGTACTTTACTGGATATGATTTCGCACTCACAAACAAAACTGATGGTAGAATATGTCCTGCAGCTGTTGGTGACATGAACAGCACAGGTAACACACTTGATCAGACCAGGTGAGTGATGCAGTTTCCATGTATTTGACATTAAATCAATCATCAAAATCATTAGTGGCTGCTGGATTCTGACAAGTCCCTTTTGGTGCTTATCATCAAGGTCAGATGCAATTGCCAGGCCACAGAAAGTCGTCTCAATCATATAGTGACACATCCGATGTATTGACTAAGTTTCATTCTCTTCAGTGATAAAAAAGCAGGAATCTCCTTACTGTGAAACATACACTGTAAACACCATGATTACCGAGCTTCCAAGCCCACAGTTTTCATTGTACTGGCCACCTTAATTTTTTTTACTAAAGATGTCAGGATGTGTTATGATGTTTTAATGGTCTCACTGGATTACTAGTGTTTAAAACATGAGTGAGTAGCCATAACAATAACTTCCCCTTCTCCAGCATTTATAGTGCCATCTAAGATAAAAAAAAACAACAACTGCTCTGCATAATTTGGGAAACTTTTCACGAGGATATTCAGTGGAAACCCGTTACAACTGATATATTCAGCTTTCTATAATTTTTCTCCAAGCTGACATGTTATCATATAAAAATTCCAAATTATACAATTAATCATCAATGGGTATGTAGCAAACGTGTTTAGAAATATACTATATATTTTAAGAAAATATCTACAACATTAATGTACACTAAATCCAAGAAACACTAATAATTATTTTCATTGTACTTTAGTCAACCCATATAAACTATACAAACATACTAAAGAAACATTGATTTCCCATAAATCAATTCCCAACATATACAATTGTTTTGATTATACACTTGTAATGTCTTAAAATAGTCACACAGCTACCAAAAATGTGTAAGTTTCAAACTATGGCAACCAGACATAATCATAAAGCTACGAAAATGTTATGCACATAATGAAATGCCATTATCTATTATTATCTTGAATTCACAATTGAATAAACTTTTTTTGTATAAAATGTCCTAACCATAGACTAGCTTATCATCATAAAAAACAGGCATCATGATTTTTTTGTACTTCCTATACAATTGTAATGGCGAAGTCATACAACACAATATTTTAAAATGCTAATAAAAAAATCTAATTATTCTCTGACAGCAATTTCATAGCATATTTATTTAATAAAAAAACAAAACAAAAACAACTATTTATATACACCATAACAAATTATCACTCATAATGCTCTCTGATCAGCTTTATCATATGCCACAACATGCTCTATCTTTAAGCTATTTTATGCCTCTTGTAAAAAAAAAAAAAAAAAAAAAAAAAGAAAATCCATATTTGTGTTGTGTTGCTGGAGTTTGAGGTGAATGTCCACTTCACTCTGCTTCTGTTTCCTTCATCTTAATGAGGGGCGTGTTCTTGGCCACATTGTCACCCTGGCCGAAGAGGACTTTCTCCACTACACCAGGGCCTGCTGCCTTGATCACATACTGTAAGCAAAAAATAGGTCTTTTGTATGGAAATTTCAAATCAGAAGTGCCCTAGGAAATTTGATTTGCTAATGAGTTTTATTCCATTTATTTGTTTATTTATTATTATTATTATTTGTTTCTTAGAAATAAAAAATATATAATTACTGTCGCTTTTCCACTGGACTTAGACGACATGTACTATTCTTTCTTACCTCCATCTTCATAGCAATCATAACCACCAGAGGATCACCGGCGGCCACAGTCTGTCCAGGCGTTACAAACACCTTCTCAATGACGCCCGGCATGGGGGCAATAGCTCCGCCTGTCGCACCAGTTGCAGAACTCATCTCCTTCTCAAACTTTGGTGTTGGAACTGACAACTTCCATCCACCAGTCTGCATGAGAGAAATAAAGTTAAAAATAGGGATGACATTATCTAAATTCCAGACTCAATCAGCATATTGATATTTTGATGATACAATATCAACATAATCAATATTTTCAACATCTGAGCTTTTCCTCGATACAATCTCCCCTCACTTACCGGTGTAAAAACATACATGTCCCTGCCCTGTATGACGATCCTGGACCGTGACACATTTCCATCTATGACACAATTCAAGTGGCATACGTTGTTGTCCTGAAGCATTGATCCACTTACTTCAAATATTGAGCTGCCAACACTCATTTTATATTTGCCTGATCCCATGTATGCAACCTGAACGTTTTCCTCTGTTGGTTAAAAAAAAGAAAGAAAGAAAAAAAAAAAAAAGAGTTGTATATCCACTTCCCGACGAGAGACAGATTGCCTAAATTGTAAAACACTTCCTTTATTTAATACAGTAGATATATTCAAATGATTATTCAATATATTTATATGTGAGAGAGAGAGAGAGAGACGGAGAGGAAGGGGGAGAGAGAAGAGGGAGGGAGGGAGGGAGGGGAGGAAGGGGAGGGAGGGAGGGAGAGGGAAGGAGAGGGAGGGAGAGGGGAGGTGGGCGGGGGGGGGGGAGAGAGAGAGAGAAGAGAGAGAGAGAGAGAGAGAGAGAGAGAGAGAGAGAGAGAGAGAGAGAGAGAGAGAGAGAGAGGAGAGAGAGAGAGAGAGAGAGAGAGAGAGAGAGAGAAACAACTCACCAACTCCTCCACTGGTGATGCTGAAGGTACGAGACAATGTATGATTAATCCTGGGCACTGCACCAGGACGGAAAGGTGAAGTTGGGTCCTGAGTTGCTGCTGCAGCACGGATACCCTCCTGTTCTTCTTCGAGGATCAATGCTAGTGCACTCTGCAAGTGACAAAAATATTCTAAAATCTTTTATGGGTACACACACACTCAAAAAGAAAAAAGAGGGAGGAAGGGAAGGGGGGGGGGAGAGAGAGAGAGAGAGAGAGAGAGAGAGAGAGAGAGAGAGAGAGAGAGAGAGAGAGAGAGAGAGAGAGAGAGAGAGAGAGAGAGAAGAGAGAGAGAGAGAGAGAGGGAGGGGGGGAGAGGAGAGAGAGAGAGGGAGGGAGGGAGGAGAGGGAGGGAGGAGGGAGAAGAGGGAGGGAGGGAGGGAGAGAGGAGAGGGGGGAGGGAGGGAGGGAGGAGGGGGGAGGGATAGAGAGAGGGAGAGGGAAGGGTGGGAGAGAGAAAGGGGAGGGAGGTAGGGAGGGAGAGAGGGGGAAGGAGAAAGGAGAGGAAAGATGATAAGAGGAGAGGAAAAGAAAGAGAATGTGAAACATACAGGGATAGATATAAAGACAAAGACAGAGATACAGGGATTTAGAGACAGACAAACAATCTACAAATATCATTATATATACTGTTTATGCTACCTGTACATGTATTTGTACTGGCAGCTATGATTTGCAGACTACCCTTACCTGGCAAAACAGTTGCTGCGAAGGTGTTCTTTCCGGAAACAGCTCATTGTAATGGTCTGGGATGAAGTCCGTGCTGACATCACCTGCTACAAAACTTGGATGTGTAGCCAGGCTCATGAGGAAGTCTACGTTGGTGTTTAGACCTACGATCTGTAATGTGAGAGACCCCCTATTATGAATGCTAAAAAGACGTAATAAATTATAATATTCTTTTCTGTATGATGATGTCTCCAAATTTCTAGGACATTTGTAAAACTATGGTAATTTTGCCTAGGGCATGTGGGTAAAACCTAATGTAGCCAATAATTTTGAAACTGGCAGAACCAATTATTGTTCAAAGAAAGCTTACTTTGTAGAATGAACAAATTGAACAAATATGCATGTATTTACTGAGAATTGCCATTTCCAAACCCTACTTCTATTTACTAGTATATTTACTGTTTGTGATCAACTCAAATCCAAATCATTATGAGTAGCTTGAATGGTTATTCGAATAAAAAACACAAAATACTTTTCAGATAAATAGTATTACACAATAGAAAAGAAATCTTCATCTAGAGAAGTACGGACTCCCACCCAAGAAATTAACTTACAAAGCAAAGGCAAGTATTAAAGTCCAAAAGAACGTGTTGCTATTCACATTCGCAACTAAATATTGTTCACTTTTTAATATTTATAAAAACATTATATACTTCCAACTATTCTGATCACAACAGTTACAATCAAGACCATAAAGACTTACATTATAATCCCCGAGGCAAGTGGTGAGCAAGTTGAGGGCGCTCGAGCGATCGTGACCCCAAACTACCAGCTTTGCAATCATGGGGTCATAGTGCACGGAGACTTCATCACCTTCCCTCACACCTGAAATACAAAAGAGAAAAAGAAAAGAAAATCTTGTGGAAATGCTTCTATTTTGCCCTTCTTTTAATTTCACTCTCATCATTTGTGTATAGAAAAATAGTTTAGAGAAGTAATTATCTAAATGTCTTAAGAGCAGCATATAGTTATAATGTTGATGTTTTTATATCATTTCTTTGAAAAAGAGTCCAAAGATAGATACAGATTTATGAATCAGTCACTTCAAAAAACTGTCGGTAACTGATAATAGTTGATGATGATTATTGATGATGATTATTGATGATGATTATTGATGATGATGATGATGATGATGATGATGAAATCCCAACAACCTACCTGTCTCAATTCTCACGTGCTTGCTGGCCTGTGGTGTTGAAAGATGGTCAAGTGGTCCTGCACCTGGAAGGAACCCACTGTTGGGGTCCTCAGCATAGATTCTGGCTTCAAAGCTGTGTCCCGATAACTGAATCTGCTCCTGAGTCAAGGGCAGTGGTTCTCCTGCAGCAACCTGATGCAAAAGTAAAGTAGACATGTGCATAAATGATCTGGTGCTCTGAATCTCAGTTCTACAAACATCTGACATTAGTACAATTTTTCCTTTTCTTTTACATCAATCTCTTATTTTTTACAGATTCACTTCTTGTAATCTATTTACTCCTTTATGCTGCTGACCTAAGAACTGACAAAATATGTCAGCTGTCATTCTCAGGTGCACACTTAATGAAACAGCAAAAATCAATTTATAAAAATCTCCATACTGCTTTTCCATCCTCTTCCCTGTCTTTTTTTTTTTATAATATTAATGATAATAATAATAATACTTACTCTTAGCTGCCACTCAACCAAATCTGTGTTGGTGATCATTTCTGAAATGGGATGTTCAACCTGAAGGCGAGTGTTCATCTCCATGAAGTAGAACTTGTGCGACGCATCCAAGATGAACTCAACAGTGCCAGCTCCTACATAGCCCACTGCCTTTGCTGCGCGGACTGCAGCCTCACCAAGAGACTTGCGCACCTCCCAGCTGATCCCAGGCTGAAGTAAATAATTTTTTTTTAACCTTTATGTCATTCATACACAATGTTTGGGATGCTGTAAATATTTCTATTCATAAATTAGGGTACAATATCATCAAATGATAAATTAAAGCTTTCTTAACACTACTGTACTATCAATATTACAGATTTTAAAAAGACAAATTCAAGAAAATCCAAGTAGTAATAAACTTTGTGTGAAAGCCAGACCAATACTTACAGCTGGAGCTTCCTCTATAATCTTTTGGTGCCGACGCTGAACTGAACAGTCCCTCTCAAACAGATACACATAATTGCCATGGTGGTCACCAAATACCTGGACGCAATAAGAAAGTACATTAAAAAGAAGGAAAATGATGAAGGGGGGGAGGGACTTAAATGAACAGTGCCTAACATGTGCGATTTGTGGAAAGTTATTTTTTTGAAAGATTTAAAATTTATGATTTATATGCACTGTATGCATACTATATTCCTTTAACTACTTATTACAAATGCGACCTTTAAGAAATTATATGAACAAATTCATTTTTTAATTCTTTTTATCAATCATGTTTTAAAGTTAATATTATTTTGGTTTCATCATGGCTAAACCAACATACAAGTCGATCAAGATGGCTATAACATATTATTATGAGACCTATCTACCCATCCATACCACACAAAATATTTTCACTATAATTTTAAAACTAATATCTTCTCAGCAATAGTTTTCTTCCCCATATCAAATACTTATCCAGCCAAGAAGAGAAAAAGAAAGACAAATAACAATGCCTAAAAACCTTTCCTAGAATTGTTACATTCAAACCAAATCAGCCTCACAGACTTTCTCTCAGCTCACCTGAACCTCGACGTGACGAGGACGCTCTACAAACTTCTCAATGAGCATAACGTCATCACCAAAAGACTTTGTAGCTTCGCGTCTTGCTGATTCTAGCTGCTCCTCAAATTCCTCGGGCTTCATTGCAATGCGCATTCCCAAAAGCCTGAATTCACAAACTGCCAAATAACATTCAACAACAGCACAAATAATAATACTTTCATAAAAATGATCTTATTTTAGGTGGTACCTCATAATTCTGTACAGACCATGCCACAGTAAACAATATACATGTATCTTTAAATATGGTTGTGTAACAAAAGATGGTAATTTGTCTAACCTCCGCATTATAAGAACCTTTTCCTGACTATGCAACAGAAATGAAAAGAGAAAGAAAAGTACAAAGTCACCTTTCCTCCTCCTCCTCGGACAGCCTTGATCATAACAGGGAAGCCAATCTTGTCTGCTTCTTGTCTCAAACGTGCATCACTCTGATCCTCTCCATGGTAACCCCCTATTACAGGCACACCGGCTTCTGACATTATGATCTTTGATGTACTGTATAGAGAAAAGAGAAAAGGAGGATAAATAAGGAAAACTGTCTTTAAAGAAGAAGAAGAAGAAAAAAAAATGGGTGCAATTATCACCTGTTTAAAGTACCTAATATGGTTTATGGATATAAACTAAATTACAATTTGTTTATTAATGTAATCAGGGTATACAATGTTACATACACAACATCATTGTATAAAATATGAAGGAAAATTATTCCATAAATGCTTTGAGAACATTTTTTGGGGCACTTGCCTTAATTCTTTTTTTTTATAAAAATCTTTTAATACCTCAAATGTGCCTGATTTTCACAACTTTCTTCCTACATGGCTACAGTGACTATGATGTTACATTTTCCTACTTGATCTAGGACTAGCTTTCCCCATGCATGGATCCACTTGCAAATCTACCAAAAAAGACTTATATTTAGGCAAACACTTATGAAGCTAAGAAGATAACACTCATCTTTTCCATTATCCGTTTATGGTTGATTTGTCTGCAACTGAAGTTTTAATCTAAGGCAAACACTTACAACTGGAGGGAACTGAAATTTGCTGAATATTCTTGTTTACTTAACATTATTATTTTTTTCATTTATTGGGACTATTTTATGTAATGACTAATGTAGTTGTATATACATCCTCTGAATCACTAGGTCTGCTGTCCCTATGCTCTGAAAAAATGAACATAAGAAAAAAGAAAAAAGAGATAGAGCGAGAGAGAGAGGGAGAGAGGGAGAGGAGAGAGGGAGAGAGGAGAGAGGAGAGAGGAGGGAGAGGGAGAGAGGGAGAGAGAGAGAGAGAGAGAGAGAGAGAGAGAGAGAGAGAGAGAGAGTGAGAGTGAGAGTGAGAGTGAGAGTGAGAGTGAGAGTGAGAGTCAGAGAGAGAGTAGAGTGAGAGTGAGAGAGAGAGAGAGAGAGAGAGCAGAGAGAGAGAGAGAGAGAGAGAGAGAGAGAGAGAGAGAGAGAGAGAGAGAGACGAGAGAGAGAGAGTGAGAGAGAGAGAGAGTGAGAGAGAGAGAGAGAACATGGATATGAGAAAAGATGATGAGATGTACCAGCTCAAAATTCCTTTATTGTAAAACCCACCTCTTAATACCCATATCTCTGATGGCCTGAGCAGGAGGACCAACAAAAATGACCCCTTCCTTGGAACACCGTTCAGCAAACTCCACGTTCTCTGAGAGGAATCCATAGCCTGGGTGAATGGCTTGAGCTCCACTGCGCTTTACGATGTCTAGGATCTTGTCTCCTCGCAGGTATGATTCTTGTGAAGCAGCAGGGCCAATGTGGTAAGCCTCATCAGCCTGGTGGGTAAATACTGGATGAGATACATTGGTCTCTATTTTATATCAACATAATTGAGTTTATTTCCTGATACTGAACTAATAAATTCTAAAGAGGTAATTCTTTACAATATGATGCACTCACCAGAGACTAAGTCCCCAAATTCACGTCAAAAAATTTATTCATCAATTTAAGTTGCTGTGATTGGGCATGCCCCTTTGGCCCTGCCCAAAGGAAGGGTTGATGGGGGGCTCTGCCCTCAACAACCCCTGGGAAACATTGTCTTCACCTCATATGCATGGCACGATCAAGCTGAAACTCAGGAACACCGAGAGGACTTAGGCTGAGAGTGGCATTTTCCACGCGATCTTTTTCCTTTATTTGAGGCAGATTATTTCTTATGCAAGAATATCATATTCCGTTGGCTCTAACTTAGTGCTCCCATACCACAAAGATTAACCATTCATGATACACCTGTATGTCTTCCCCTGGCTGCTTTGCCTCTGGTGCTCTAGCAAGGGGCAACAGACCATCACATATATTTTAAAATGTTAAAACTTGTAAAATTTTCTGTCTACTTATTGTCTAATGAGAAACCAGTCCAAGCTTTATCTTGCCAAAATACACATAGTGGAGGTTTGCTGTCCTTTACTGGAGCACTGAAGACATGATGGTTGTTGCAACTGCTCGAGTCTATATTACTATATGGCTACCATCACAGATCACAGCAAGTTACAATTTGTTTATGAAAAACAAAAATGACAAAAAGTCTTATTTTGAAAAGCCATTGTTAGTGACGTGTAAACATTATATAAAACATGTTTTGTCTTTCTATTAAAAGTTCTTACATAACTGGGCATACTTACACTGATATATTATGTCATCATAAGAATAACCATTATATTACACTTTAATTATTTACTAAATCATATTCCAGAATATTCTGACTAATACAGACAAATTACAAAAACAAAATTCAAAAATACAAAGATCAATGACAAAAAAGAAAGGAAAAAGAGAAAAGGAGAGAGAGGAGACAAGAGAAAAGAAGAGGAGAGTAGAAAGAATGACAAAATACTTACCATATCAACATGCATTGAACCCTTATCTGGGTCGGAGTACACAGCCACTGTCCTCACCCCCATTTTACGCGCTGTTCGGACCACTCGACATGCTATTTCTCCTCGGTTGGCAATAAGGAGTTTGCTAATTGGCCGGTGAGGCACTGAGGAGTGTTGGAGGCGATGGCCGACTGACCTCAGCACCTGCCATCCTCTGGAATAGTTGAGATGATTAGAGAGACGCAGAATTTTCCTCCAGTCAGCGTTCATTCCTAACTACTTGCCTACAAAAACCACCCTGATAAATCACTATCATATAATTCTCTAGTCCAAACTCTACCTTCCCCAAATATACATGACAGTTTGATGCCATGACACTTTAATTACTTGCTCTGAGGTTGTGGTAGAATCCCCATATATACAAATCTTTCTTTGTATAAAATTTAGGTTCATCCCGTATCTCCTTTATTTTCAATTTGCGCACCTTTTGCCATAGATGAAAAGTGTCTCAGTTTACGTCAAGATAACCATTCCATACTTTTTTTTTCCACTCATATTCTGATTGTTATCCACTGTAAATTTACCCAAATTTATCATTGTTCATAGTTCCCTTTATTGATATTTGTCCAAGAATATCCCTGGTATTCTCTATGACATTACAGCTACTGTTACCAAAGTTGGACAAAGTTAACAAATATAAATCATATATTTCACATTCTATCAATACTGTTAATATATGTGACATAGCACTGTTAGTAAGTATCGATCATATCATCAAATCATTTAACTTCTGTGGTGTCGTTAGCCTTCCCCCAAAGACAGATTTACCAGAAAATTGACCTGTACCAATTTCACTATAATTCTCTATACTCTCGTTGGTGAGATGAGTCCTTCAGGTAAATACATATAGCTAAATGAATACAGTGATCAGGTTCTTGATTTCCTAATTTTTTTACTGACAAACCTACAAATTTCCTGATACTGTTATTAACAATGACCCTGATGACACCACCCAACTCTGAAATTAAAGTTGGCAGTAATGAATCTCACATATTCTACTGTTGGCAAAGGAAAATGTAAAAATAATGAGAGATCATTTAACGAAGTATCATTCACTCATAATCACGGAATGAACAATTATACCCTCAAGGCTTTCCTCCGGCACTGCATTCTTGGCGAAAACTGCCACTAATAATTAATAACAACACTCCCACCTATACTCTTTGGAGACCTAACCATCATGAATAAACTTTGGAAACAAAATAAAGCATAAAATCATCAGGGAATATTAATAAGTGACAAATTTTAACACACCGAATTGCAAGTGGTCTGCTTGGTACCCTGAACATCTTGGAAGTGCTTATCTCTCTATCATTTCTCGGGAATATGCATTTAAAAGAAACATTTTATACATTTTCATTTTATTTTTATTTTCTTGAAATATGATTTACTGTTCTAGTTTCGGTAGATATCAGAAGGTTGGTGTTTATATCTAAATTCTGGTTTTGAGATTCTGTAAAAAGTCTTTTGTTAGTATTCATTTGTTTTCATTTTATTCTTATTTTTCTAAATACTCGTATGAATTAATTTATAACAAGATAATTAAATATGCAATATACCTAAATCTTTGGTCATATATAAATAATAGGTAAAAGTAAAGTTGCCATAAAATGTATTCTATGTTTATTTAACGTAAGATAAAAGCCTTAATTTATCCTTGTGTTCAGGTTTCTCTCACTTGAGGAATTGACACGGAGGAACATACGTCAAAATCTCAAGTAATTCACTCAGGGACAGTTAACAAGGGTATATTTGCACTTAGGCTAAGGCCTTTATGTATATTTTGGGTGGGTTTAGTATTGTGGTTTTGGTGCCATTTTATTTGTAAAGTTATTGTGATCCTGATAGATATACTGACAAGATTTTGATTAAAGAATTTATTTGTATTTTGTAGTCATATTAGATATCTTGTATTTATTGATTTTTTCGTATGTCACCGTGATTTATAGGATAAGTGAGTGTAAGGGGAAAATATATTCCATTTAATAATGGGAGCAGCAGTAGTGGCAGGAGTTTTTAAGGGACAATATAGGATCACAATGAAAACATATCATATTCTCTTCTGGTTATTTTTGTTGATATGAAGTACATTTCCAGTTTTTAGAGTATATTAGGGACTAACATACGATGATTTTGGTATTGTTTGATTCTTCTCGCCGTTTACAATGCAAATATGTTGGTTTTATTGCACATACACCCCCCTCCCCCATTAGCAACAAGCTTGGCCCCGATAGCAGGGGAGGGCATGGAAGGTACCAAGGAAACAGAAGTTAAATATGAAGAATAATATACACAGAATTAGTCACGATATTGTCTATATCAAAACTGGTTAATCACGAAAAGTTCTATTAATTTTTGGCAGGCCCGGCAAAAACCTGTTCGGATTTTTTCCTCCATTCGTAGGCCTATCAGCTCTCACAGATTTGTCCATTCCTTGAATGGGTAAATATGGAAGTAACAAAAATATACATTTGTTACAGTAGTTATGATCTATAATGTTATTGTTATATTTATAAGCATTGTTATAGTGATATTTACAATGAATCAAAATGAAACTAAAAGCATTTCCTTTAAAAATTCAAGGAATGGAATAAATAAGGGAGGTATAGTTGTAATTGACTCTTTGAAAACTAGACCTATGCACTTCTGGAGCAATTCAAGTGTAAATAAAAGTGATAGTTATATTAATGTCTTCTCACTTATCACAACCTCAGTATAGCATCTTTTATTGGATGATATTCTAGCAATTTTATGAACCCAATTCTGCCAGGAACATTTAATGCTCACTGTAGTTTCCTGTTGCGAAATAAGTTTGTGGGAAAACTGGTTTTGATATAATGCTATTAGTATCAGTGCTGTTATTTTTAGTATTGGCATTATTATTATTATGATTATATTATTGTTAGCAAAACTAATAGTAATATCAAATAAAAGAAGATTATTTCTGAAACTCAAGGAAAAGGGTGAATAGGTGAGATAAGTAGGATTAGTAATTGACACCCTGATGATTAAGTACTTGTGGAGCCATCTATGTCTACACACAGTTCACAAACTAAACCCGGCATTGGGTTAACAATTCTTACATTATGGCAGACCAATGTTATAAAATATTAACACTGGCCAATTTCTCATATGCCATATTATAGAGATTGGAAAAATTGATATTGGAAGTTTTTTAACAGTTTGTTACTGTAAATACATACATATGCATATACATACTTCTGTATACTCATAGGTATAGATATAGGCACATAATTATTCATAATTTTTCTTCATTATTTTCATGAGTTATTTTTGTGCAGTTATTGTTCAAAATGATTTTACTGTAAATGAATGCCAGTAACTTTCCTGACTAAGAAAAATATATATTTCAGAACATGGTAGAGGTACAAGCTCAGGTATTAGGAGGGCCAGTGCACCTGGCTGGTGACACAGTACAGGTGTGCATCACCATAACAGTGCCCTCCCTAGACCCAGCATTAAGGGCACAGTCAAGGTAAAAAGCATTATTCTTTCAGTATGTTTTGTAACTCTTGATAACCAAAGAAGCAGAGTAATTTTAGAAATTGGATAATTTGAATGGAACTAACAAAATCTTGTTTTATTTTGCCATAGAGGGCCTTTCAGCAGCAGAGCCTAAGATAGATGGTTATATGTAATAACTGAAACTCTCATGATACTTCACAGTGATGTGTGTGAAGTTCTAGCTTGGGGGAGTGCACAGATCCATTGCCAGTGCTCTGTAAATGAATCTCGGGTGCGCTTACCAGCTACCAGCCCCAAGCAAGCAGAGGAACGTGCAGTCACAAATGCTGGTAAATTCAAGTTCTTCTGTTGAGTTATGACAGTGTTGGTTAAGCTCCATAATGTATAGAGTTAGCAGTTATGAACCTGTATTTGAAAAGTATATTCTCAAATGAATGTCTCCCTAGTTTGTAGGGACATGTTTTTTAATTTTATCAAGCAGGATTATATACATGTATAATACCATGCCGTATCTCATTCCCCAGACACCTCCTTTGCTCCGTGTCGTGGAGAACGTGGCCATGTTGTCTTGTCAACAAAACCCAAGATCTTGTTTTGTGATCTTCAGCTGCTTCCAGGAGAAAGTCGGTCATGTAAGTTTAAAATGGAGAAAGCAGTATTCAAGAACCTGGGAAATCTACCCCAACTTATTTTTTGCCTGTTATTAAATAAATTGTGTTAGGAACTTTGGGGAAAGGTGTTGTAATTGACATATGAAAGAATATTGTAGCAACCACGACCTGCAACCTGCAGCTCATAGTTGCCTAGGTTGGGTCCACAGCCTTCCTCAACACTCACCAGAGGCCTTTTCATGACTCACTGCGAGACCAACATGCTCACAAGGACACCTCATGGCTCTCTGATTGGACCGCAGGCTCCCCTCATTCCCTTTTAGCTTACACAATTCCTGTGTAATTAAATGCAGAATTTGGAACAAGATCAGCATCGTCTCAAGTTCATCTAGCAGCACCACAGCTAAGCAGCAACCATCAGGGAGCTTCACCAGCTCCCCTGTTGATCTCCACTCACCCTCAGCACTCAGCCATACCTTTGGGAACTCACACCCAAATAGATATAGACACCAGTTAAGTGGTAGATACACCATCTGCCACACTAGTGACCCATATAGTGATACAGACATTGGTACTTCGCTCGCTTGCTTGGCTCACTAACTGGAGGGGGAATACTGTAGCAACCACAAACTGCAACCTGCAGCCCGGCATAATTGCCTAGGTTGGTTCAACCAGGTCCACAGCCTTGTCCTCACTCACTCACCAGCAGGTGCTTCTTGCGACTCACTGCCTTGACCTGACTGGCTCACCCAGACACTTCACAACTCTCTAATTGGACCGCAGGTTCCCCTCATTCCCTATTAGCTTACACAGCTCCCGTGTACTTAAGCTGAAGAATCAGGAACGAGATCAGCATCGTCTCAAGTTCATCCAACAGCACCATTGCTAAGCAGCAGCCTTCGGGGAACCTCAGCAGCTTTCCCGTTGATCTCCAATCACCTTCAGCACTCAGCCATACCTGTGGGAACTCAAACCCACAATCACTCACCAAAGAGATAAAGACACCAGTCAAGTGGTAGATACACCATCTGCCACAATATAGCTCATAATCTTAAAGATAGGTTATTGCTGAAAAGTATAGATTGTTTGTAGTATACATTTTGTGTTACTTTATAAATATTTATGATTGTGGGGGAAGTTACTGCTGTTATTGTGATGTAATGTCAGGTTTCTTACTAAAGTTTACAAACTTAAAGATGGGAACAGGATGTACAGGTAGTTATATTACTCAATAGTTCAAGTCATACTAAATTAGGTAAATTTAATCATGCTACAGCAAAGTTATGTTTCTTAATGTTGTATGGGTTTAATTCTTTATCTATTGAGATTAAAGTCCTACATAAACTAATATTTAAAAAGTATATAATTAAATTTTATTTAATAGGGTAAACCCATCATTTTGTTTATGTACAATTTAAAAAGATTTAACAATACATTTAGTCAAACTGATTGTACTCACTTGGAGATATATTGCTTTTCTTTACAGTTGTGTACAGAGAAACCCTCCCATGTGATGCACCACCAACATATCGCGGTCAACTGTTGAAGTACGCTTACAAGATAACTATTGGTGTCCAGAGGCTGGGGTCTCCAATCAAACTTTTACGTGTGCCTATTAGAGTTATTGTTCTTCAAGGTTTGTTCCCCATAGTTACTGAAGGAGATTTTTCTTTCAATTAAAAAAACTTTACTTATCTGAAGATAAGGAAGTTGATGAAAAGTTGCCATATAAAATGTGTATTGAATTTGTGTTAAAATTTTCTAAAAGAAATGTAGGAAAAAAGTGAAATTGTACAAAATTTTTATGTGATATGTCTTCAGGTTTGAGTGAGGCCTGTGTGTATAGTGAGAGTGGGGAATTAGCCCCCTCGAATCCCTTTCTCCACACCCCGCAGCGGGATACTCCGAGACACACTGCTTTACAGATTATTCAGGTATGAAAGTATCCAGTAAGATATAGGATACATATTTGCTCATATAATTGTACATAAAGATAAAGAGAATTAAATGAAAAGGTTTTTTTTTACTCAACAGTATGTGTAAAATGAAACACTGCCACAGTGCTCTTTTGATGAAGTAAAAGTTCTTGACAACTATGAAATGTCACAGCTTATTTTCTGTTATTTTCTGTTTTCCTTTTTGCAGTGTTAGTATTTTTATTCAGCACAAGTACATATATATAAAGAAACATGAATTATTGATATTTTTGTTTTTTATATGGATGTATGAGGTATTCATAAATATTTTGAAAATTTTTGCAGAATTTATCAACAAGGAAGAATGTAAACCAGTATAATATAACCAACACCCAAGGCAAAGTTGTACGTTTTTGCATTTACAAGACAAGTTTTAGACTTGGTGAAGACATTGTGGCTACATTTGACTTCAGTAGTGCAGAGGTTCCTTGTGTTCAGGTGAGTTAATCTGATTATTTTGTTTTGGATGTTGGTCTTTCTTCCAGAAGAGGGGATAGATATGAGAGGAGCAGAGAAATAGGAGGGTGTAGGAGAGGATGTGATAGAAGATGGGGAGGAACATTAGGTAGCCTGGTGTGACAGGTAAAATGAAGAGGAGGGGTAGGCATTGGGGAAGTGGTAGATACTAGAGTATCTGGATTTAGACTGGAAAGGGAATTTGATTAGGGGAAAGGGGGAGTAGAGGTAGAATGGTTCGGGATACTAGGGGAGATACTGATGGGAGAGGAGCAGAGTGAAGGACAGTTTTGGAATAAGTAGAGAGAGAAAGACCTATTCACAGTACTTCCATTATGAGAGCCACCATAATAGGCACATGTTTGTGACTGAGCAGAGCAATTTAAATGGTCATGACCAGGTTGGGCACATAGAAGGCAGTGACAGTGTTTGGTTGGGTGGCCAAAACACCAACATTTCTGACATTGATGAGGAAGGGGTTGACATGGTCAGACAGGGCAAGACACTTCACTAGTATAAACTTCGTGGGGGTGGTCATGTTTACGGATGCTAATCTTGGCAGAATTGGTGTAGGACATATGCTGGCCTCTGGGAGGAATAGTGGAGCACTGTACTGCTACTACATCATAATCAACAAGGCAGGGGGTGGGGGGAGAGGAAGGAAGAAGAAGACTATGGAAAGAAGATTATGCAGTAGGATATGGAGTGGAGAATGCTGGGAGAGAGGAAGGGATGCATTCTAAAGGTTGAGTAATGACTTGGGTGGGTGGTTTGGAATGGATAGAGTTGTCAGTAAACATCGAGGAGGGAGTATTAATACAGGTGGTTGGGACCTTGGTCAAAGGAGAGGCAGGGGTTGGAAAACCAACGAAATCTGATTTAGAAAGGCTAGTTGATGAAGGGACATTATTGGCCATGGTGAGCCTGAGATAAATTTGGCAAAGAAACAGTCTACCCCCAGGGTACCCATAAGGGGTAAGGCCTAGGCGATTAACCAAGGGAATACCATACCCATGGGCTCTAGAGGCTGTTCATGGCTGACACAAAACCAGCCTTTCATCCTTCCAGCACCACACCTTAGGAAAGGGTCAGAAGGGGGTGAAGAAGAAAAGGAAAAGTAAAGAGGAAGAAGAAAAGACCATGCAAAATTAGTTGAGGTGAGGGCTGAGGCCCTAGGTAGGGATAATCTCTTACTTTGGGCCTCAGTTTCCATCTCCTAAGCCCCTCCATGACAACAGCGACAACGAGCAACGGATTAGGCGGGTTTACTTAATGAATCATGACAAATTGCTGACACATTTAAGCTTAATACAAGATCAAGGGTGGAAAATCAGCATTCCAGAGTTAGTGGTTTTAAGTATGATACATTTGTGTTATTTAATATAAAGATCCTTTATAGTTCTGATAAATCACTGTGCTGAAGAATGTAATTAGAATAAAATTGGTCTAATTTATTTGACTGGAGTGTGAATGCAAGGGAACTTCTGTTACAGTTAATATTCCTATTTCTTAAATTTGGAAAGTTGGTATAATTAAATGTAACATAAAATTACTGCTATAGCACCAGCCAGGCAAAGTCCTTTTTCAGCTCAGCCTTGTTTCAGTTGAAGTTGCGGCTGACAGGAACCTAGCTCCTACATAAAATGAACTTAAACTATATTTATAATTACATTATAAATGAAAAATTTCAACCTCAGACATCTAGCCATTATTAAATGTTAAATATATCTTTATGAACTATAAACTATTTTCAGTACTCAGTAACCCTCCAGAGTGAGGAAGTAATAAGTGAAGCGTGCCGTCAGCGTCCGTCCCAGAAGCCCATGCTCGTGCCTTACAGCAAGGCTCATGAAGTGTGCCTAAACATGACGCACACTAACCTCTTGTTACCCATCCCTCTACACGTCACGCCAACTTTCACGTCGGATCTTGGTGAGTAGGTTTAGGTGGTATTTCAGCTAAGGTTTTCTGTGGCTTGTCAATTTAGTGACCTAGACAGAATTGTTCCTTGATGAAGCTTCCACAGCTTGTGAAGACTGCTCTCATGATTTTATTATTTATTTTAAGTGATGGACCCTGCATGAGGCTAAACTTTATTGCTTGTTGTTCCCTTTGCATTGATTAAATTTCAACTGATACAACTCTGTTTTACACTGATGTTCTTTATTTATTTATATATTGTTTTTGTCACAGTGAGTCTACAGTGGCGGCTGCACTTTGAATTTGTAACAAGCAAAACAGAAGTCCCAGGACCTTCCACTCCTCAGAACGCAGAAGATCAGATTGAGTGGCGAGCCCCAAGCTCACTAGAAATCGAGACCATGGTCTGGGATCTGCCCATTACAGTCTTGCCAACAACCCCAAGTCAAGTTGCTCAAGCCATCTGTATGCCAGCTCAGCAAACCTTGAAACTGTAGTTCCCTTTTTGCGTTTTAATTTTGAATATATCTTTTAGTTGCGTTTAAGCCATTACCTGAAGTTGTAATTACAAACAATGAGTTTTTATGTGATTTTTTATTATTATAATTGTTCACTTATTTGTTTCACAGAAGAATAATGTGGTAGTTAGCATTCAAATTATGGGCAAATGACTATATTAACATGTATAATTGAATTTGTTGTAAATAATATTTATTAGGCTACCAGTGACATTTTACTACTGGGAGGATGTTATATAGAACATATATAGTATGTACACACAGTAGCATCCAAAATTGTACTTTTCGGTTTATACAAATATATTTTCCTCAGTTAGTCTCTTTGGTGTACATTGGATATTTGTACCTTAAAAAAAGAAAGAAAGAAAGTGTTGACTTCATCAGGGACCTAGTCTGTGTTATTTATTTTATGATTTTGTGAAATCCATATTTCTACTAGACAGAGATAAATCTTGTTATCCAGTACGTGCGAATTTGACGGAAAAGCTTTACCCATTTTACTAAGTAAGGAAATGTTGATAATTTTAAACTAACTTTTAACAATGTTATTGTAAAGAAAGATCTTGTAATATGAAATTTGTTATTAGCTTGTAAGACAAGGATGTAAAGATAACTATTTATTGACAGTTATTGCAACTAGTTTTACTTAAGAGTGAGGATAAGGGGCCAAAGAGTGAATGTGACGTGTGTAAATTACAAAAGGGACGGAGGATATTTCCCCCTCCAAATATTATAAAAATACGTCTTCCTTTTGCATATTTTCTGCAAGGAATGGAATGAGATTTTACAGGTACAACCAAGCAATACTTTTAGGAGCTGAAATATGTTTTAAATAAATTTTATCATTTCTTTGTGTTTTGTTTCTGTCCCTTTAGTTTAATTTAGGCATTGTACATTATATTTGCTATCAATTCTTCCCTTTAGTGAAGTACAAGTGGTTCTATGCTATGGACATTTTGTCTTATAGTTTATTTCACGGAAAACAATGCTTCAGTTACACAAATCTGCTATATCAAAATGAATGGTTGATTGATAATGACAGCACACAATTTACCGAGTCAATGGAATTGCATAATCAACTGGGAGATGCGCATTCTCCATTGTTCTACTCATACTTATTATAAGGCGCTACTTTAATATGTTATTGTGAACAAAATAATCTTAGCACAATTTTTTTATATGGTTATTTCAGCATAAAGTTGAGAATAGGATTAGTATTCTTCCAGTTTCTATTCTTGGAACGAAAGGAAAGAAAAAAGTTTACAATACTACGAGCATGAACTATGGAACTTTTAGGAATCTCATGAGAATCATCATAACATTTGGCTTGGTTACTCATACTGCCGTAAAATAAGATTCTTGACATTCATAAGCTGTGGCAATAATGATTACTTATATACTCCTATGCTCTGAAACTTAAATCAGCTTATATTGTCATGCTGTAGGCAATATAAGATAAATAAGTTTTAGAACAAAATTGTGTAGATTGAGGTATACATCAATGGGACATTTAATGACTGAAAGCAATACAGGAAATCTGTATGTTAGTCACACCAGACTACAGAAAATGTTTATTATAAATGGATGATAAAAAAAGATTGCTTAATTACAGTTCAATATATGACTCTTGTAATAACAATATGTTTGTCTTGCTGTTCATTAAAAGTAGTAAATTTACTTTTAAAGATATTTGTCCTTTTGACAGATTAAATTAAACATTGTTGATGTTAATTGAGACACTGAAGAATGAGTATTGTTTTCAAAGCCCATGAAATCCTGGTAAGTCAAAATTATAAATGACTTATCCTTTCATAATCCACTTAACCCGTTGTTGACAGATGACATGCATATCCATGGCATGACTTGATTCAATCCTGGGTGGCATGTATTACTCTTTTGCCTCATGTTTTAGCCAAAATCATAGAAAGTAGGGAAATGAGTGTCTGACTTCCTGTGGTGTCTAGTGCATGGTTTAATATAGCTTGGAAAATCCCCATTAGCCCTGACTTATCTGGATATAAAAAGTACGATAACCTCTTACTGTATTTTATTTTTTATACATAGTTTACACTGTGAAGGTATTAACATAATCCCTTAACATTAAAATAAATGCCAATATATACATTAAAACAGGCTAAACTATTTCTAAATCTCCTTTTCTATGCAGGGCCTCCTCTCTGCAAGATAAAGAAAAATATGGGTTACTTTATTACTGTATACCTATTTTCTAATTATAATGTAACTTTTATCCTACAATATATATAAGACTGACCCTATTCATTAGTTCCCTCATACAAACACAAAAAAATGACAAAAAAGAAAAGAAGAAAACAATGAATTTCTGTTAAGTGTGTTTCAATAAAAAAAAAAAAAAAAAAAAAAAAAAAAAAAAAGAGAAAGCTCTATAAATTCCATATACAGTAAACCTAACCTATGGACTGCACACTTACTTTCAATTAATGAATATTAATGAATAATGAATCTTTTCACTTACATTAATAAATTCAATTTCTTCTTCAGTAATGATTTCCCTACGGTACTTCAGAGGAACTTGCCACTCTTCGAGTACAGGCGCTTTTTGGACAGGTGTTGCAGCTGGTTTCTTCATGGGTGCTACTGCAGCTGCTGCGACTAACGGTTCTTTGGGTCCTCGCACTGTAAAAACATTTCATAAATATATAAATATAAAAATACATAAATATATAAACTATACACACACACAAACAGAGGAGAGCAGAGGAGTGGAGAGGAGAGGAGAGAAGAGAGATTGGAGTGGAGAGAAGAAAAGAGAAATTGGAGTGGAGAGAGAGAGACTCTAACCAGGCACCTATCTATGCTCTCTATGTTACCAGAACCCTACATTATTTTTACTTGGTATTATCATAAGAAAATAAAATATGCTACACAATTTCTAAAACTCACCAAGTTCTGTAAGGCCACCTTTCCGAAATTTTATCATTGGAATGTGGGGCTTCACAGCCTGTAAATAGAAGGATATTAAATGTTTCATACATATATATACTTGTAGAATTCAGCACATCAGATAGTTTGCACTTTATGTGCAATTTCAAGTATGGACCTAGCTCTAAAAAATCTACATCTTACATTATTCACATGTATGAGTATGTGTATGTGTATGTGTATGTGTATGTGTATATGCACATGTGTGCACATCACACATGCACACACATACACATGTAGTTTCCCAGGGGACCCTCCCCTCAGGTAGTGCCCAAATGAAACACCCTGTCACAGCAACTTAGATTGATGAATAAATTTTGTGAACTGGAGTTGGGGACTTAATATCTGGTGAGTGCATATGTACTGTAAAGAATTATCAATTAAACATATATATTTTCTCTAGCTTAAGATTCAAAATAACCTCTGCATTTATACTGCTACCCTTGAGGTGTTATCATGCACTTGAGAATGAGATAAGTCTTTGATCGACTGAACTGCAGCAGTCACACACATTTGATAAGCACTAAAATGTATACAGAAAAGTAAAAGAAAAAATGTAGCTTAAATCTGTGTACATTTTATCATTATATAGATAATTAAAAAATATCTACATAATTACAGCTATTCTTAAATGGCCATGCATGTGTGGGTAATATCAAACAATTAGAAAAAAATAAAAAGAAAAAGAAAAAACAAATCATCACTACATACACTGACATGAAAATAGTAAGAAAATGTTGTTTTATCGGGTAATGTTACAGAGAGTGATGCACAGAGATAGAGGGAACTGGACATCACCATCTTATAGAGATAAGACATAGAGTCTTAAACAACTTGGGTAAAGCTGCTGCGGCCTCATAATTACTGTGAAATGACAAAGATATCCACTGCATATCAAAGCTCAGAGACTAAGTTCACAACACCCTTACACTGCCAGAGACCTTAATGTCCGTTTTCAATAAGTTGGCACAAAGTACTAATGAAGGGGGGGTACAGGGAGGGCTTGTCCCCACCTGTCTAAGAAATAAATTGTAATTAGGAAAGGCTAGGTTTGAGTTTTTGGAATTGCATGATACCCTGGTTTTGGCACTTCATTTCTGGAGGGTGTGTTGCTCTCGGTAACAAATCCCGTTTCATCACTCACACCAGAATCATTGATCTCAGATACTCGTCTGAGGTTTGTAAATCTGCCTAACCTGCACTATGAATTCAATTTATTGTTGGAAAGAAACCTGTGACATTTTAGTGAAAGAACAAATATAATAAGCTAGACTAATACATTCCATATGGCCTACACAGGTAATCTTGCAAAATGTCTTTTTCCACCTGATAAACCCAAGTTAAGTGAAAGCTAGGCCTACAATATTCGCACATTCTCTAGGTCTTTTTGAAAAAATTGTACCCTAGGTATACATATGATAACTACAAAGGATCTGGACAAATATATAATAATGTTATCAATCTCTCGGCTGTATACATACATTTCTTATTTTCTTGAAAACATATATTAAAAAAAAAGAAGAGTTTAGCGTAAATCTCCGGATGGAAAAAGGAATTCTGAAGACAATCCTTACCAAATCTCAATGCAACTTTATTTGTAAATAAATATTAAATGAACTTTGATTCTTACGATCCTAAAAATGTATGGAGTTCATCATACATCTCTGCCTAAAATAAACGATCTATAAATAGACTCGACACTTCGACCGAGACATCACTCTTTAATCTCCTTGCCAATATTTCAGCAAATATGTCAACGTATTTCATAAAACCAGAAAACAAAACTGCCGCCTCACCCTCCAAGCGGTTCCAGCCACGGAGCTCATGTTTACATTGACCTGCATCTCGTCCACAGTCAGCTGGTGGATCCGATCTCGCCGTCGGCACTGTTTGGAGAGATTGATGCTACTTTAAGAGATTCTGGTTGAAATTAGTGTATTTTTTTGTGTTTTTCTTTTTATTGATGGGTCATTTTGGTAATATTCGTCTAAATCAAAGTATGTAAATCAGTTGTATTTTGAAATCTATGGGAGAGATTGGTTTTATGCTAAACAAAGGTTGGTTATAGTTTCAGATTTACTATTTGGAGATATTGGTGTTACTTTGGGAAACTCGGGGAAAGTGATATTTTTTTTGGATTTTCTGGTGGAATATGATATAAAAAAGAGAAAAATAAAGAGAGAGAGACTAGTGTTTCTTTCTGAAATTCATTTGCACGAAATCTGCGTTCTCTGAAAGTTTCTGGTTGGGAAATTCCAGAATTCTCTGGCCAAATTGGCTATTTCATTTTTTAAAGGACAGACATTTAAAAGCGCTATTTTTTGGAATTTCGACCAAACGGGGTATATCTAAAATCCTATGTATACACATACATATATGTATGTGTATACATAGATACATACATACATACATACATACATACATACATACATACATACATACATACATACATACATACATACATATACATATATATATATATATATATATATA